GTTTAAGTGGCACAGGACATTTGTAGTCTAGCGGAGTACAAAGCATGAAACCCTTCAGTTCATTGATAGGTAGCCATTTTTAGGCAATTGATAGATGAAAGACGCTGTTTTCTTAGTATCAAAGAAGCCATGTTGTCATATATCTGGCACAGAACGGATACTGTACATTTATTTTATTTATATATGTCTACTTATCGTCTATATACGTATGCCGTTTTGACAAAATGAATATTGTGAAGATCTTTCTGTGGATTTACTTGTTCCATCTAACATGCTTCTTCTCAAAAACAGTAGTTGCAGACATTTGTCCCGACAGTCGAAGGAGACAGTGTGGGGGAATTTCTAGAAAAACCTTGCAAGAAACATTCTAGTTTGGAATTCTGAAGTATAGTTTGTATGTAAGAGCATTTCTTTAAAAAAATAAACACCTGCTGACCCCATCAAAAATCAAACCAAAAAAATCATATTTATACAAAACTCATATTTAAAAAAAAAAAACAGATGTGGGGTTTAAAGTCAGTGGATGGTAGAGTTGGGACATGTAGACCCAAAACATAAAAAACAGCATGCAAAATTCACTAGGATGAATTGGATTGATTTCACTAAAATGAAAATAGTTTAATGTTTTAAAAAAATGTTTAACATCACTTTATTAACCCTTACAATTTCTTGCATTAGGAATGATCTTTTTCCATACCCCAGTTTGCTCTCCATGAGACACACACACAGATAGAGAGAGAAGTTCTCCTCCCTCTTCTTCATCTGTTAAGACTACACAGGAAAGTCTGCTGTTCTTTCTGCAGTGTAATACCATTGCTTTGCCTTTATTCAGATCCTAAATATAAAAGGTGTAGCCACCTACTGTAATTCCAAAGTCCTCTACAGGCTCTGGAAGTCTAATTTCCATTCAGCTGGCACTTCATTTTGATGCTCCTCACCCTGTACAGTACAGCATGTGCTAGTTCAGTGTTACGATAGCCATGTACCATGTAAAAAGAGTCAGCTCTGGGTTTCTTTTGATCAAGAACACTATTGTTTATAGATGTTTACTATTAAATACTTGATTATTGTATATAGGCACTGCATTAGAAAAAATATTAGAAAGTACTGCTGTAAGTACAGTACTGTATCTGATTGCAAGATACTCACAGAATCATGAGCAGTCCTCGATAGCAGAAAGTTCAGCTCTTATAATGTCATATATTTGTTTAACCAAAGTGGCAACATATTTCCAAAGGCGTGATAAGGGGTTTGTCTTGTTCAGTTGGTGGGGCTATTTCCTATAAAATATCACTGTCATAAAAATCATAAAACTGTGAGGAGAGGCTGGAAAGAAAAGTGCTGAAAACAATTTCATCTTTCATACCTCTGTTTTGATTTCAAGAAATCTGGTTAACCAGGATTGACTTTGGATTTAAGTTCATTACATTAATTACATTTCTGAGGTATTCTTTTTTATTAAGGTAAAAATTCCTCATTAAGAAAGTTTCTGTTAAACAGCCACCAAAACAAACTAGGTTTGTATTCTTTTTTGTATTTCTTTTCTTCTGTTCAGTGTAAATTAAACACAACAAGGTGCTCATTGAAACATCACATGATACTGTATGTGTTATTATCTTGGAGATCTTGGAGTTTTTTTCCATCCTTGCTAACATAAGCTAAGGCAAGACAGTAATGATAATGATACATTCAGTATGAATCCAGTATGATGAGCTGTCTTTTGTGGGCACTTGAATACTGTATGGATTTAAGGTAATAAATGTTACAGGTGATTTTGAAATGTTTTCAGAATTGGACAGAATGGAAGACTTAAAGCCTTTTTAGAAGTTGTTTTTGCCAAGATTTTAATTTCCAGTGGTTTTAGTGGGGCAAAGACATTTAAGATTAAATGTGTACACGATCGTCTTTGGATCATAGTCTGTAATTGAAACACATATACTGTAATCCCCCAGCTTTATTTTTTTAAATGTTACTTCATAGGTTTTAGAGCTGTGAGTATTTTCTTAGCAGTGGAAATAAATCAGATAAGCAGAAACTGTTAAGCGGACACTTAATTGACAGATTGAGCAAGCAGTATTCCTTTGCAAAGTTTCCTCTTCCTCTTCTGTCAGCAGGGGGCTGTAATTTTCTCGAGAAGGGGGACAGTTCTACTTGCCATCTGTAGAGAAGTACCTCCAGCTTCTCAGTATGGTTCTCACACGTCTTGTTATGTGGGTAGGCTGTGTAGGATGGCTGGCTGGGTTTTTCTCTAGACCAATTAAAATTCCTGACTCGGCCAGAGGCAATTGTCCTAATATATGCAACTCTCGGCGGAGAGGTAAAGTTGAAAGCAAATAAATCACGTTCTAGAAATCCTTCAAAAATAGGCATCCCCATTTTGGAAAATGGAGCCGGTTGTTTGGCACCTAGGTCTTGCAAAAGAATATTATTGCCTTTCCTAGTTTAGAATTTCTGTTTCATTTCCAGTTTGCATCTACTTTTTATTATGTCGTCTTTTTTAAAAAATATATATAGTTAAACTTTGAATTGATGTTTCTCTTTGCCATGCTTCAAGCACACTGATGTTAGTGCTTTTGAATTCACAATATAAAATATTTATAGAAAAAGTCACTATGTTATCAACAATGTATAGTATTATTATGATTATGATTATTATTATTATTATTATTATTATTATTACAGTACGTATGCTACAGTAGGTGGTCGATCTTGATCCATGTCAGAGTAAGAGTCTGTGGCTTTTGATTGTCGCTGTTCAAAAGACAAAGGCTAAACTTCACACTTTACAATATCTACAAAAGGTGCTG